CGCGCCTGCATCCCCCCCCCCCCCCCCCCGGCCAGACACAGCAGTGGCCAAATCTCCCTGACCGCCACGTGTCCGGCGCCTCTTCTCTCAGCAACTCAGGAACATGGAAGGATACGTAGGATTGCTGAGGTGACGCAGGGTCATACGGATAATCGATGATGGACGACAGTTGGCCGTCATTGTCCATCACATGTCATAGCTTAAAGGAGAACTCCGCTAAGCTCTTGTTTACTGACTGCTTACAGACCGCATCTTTATCAATTTTTGGTGCCACATTTTGACGCGTAATACTGCGTGCGTTTTTTCTTCCAGTTTTCAGACTCTGACGTGTCAAAGTGAGTAAAACCTGTACAGATCATAGCGAGCATTATGCATTGGCCCCTTTGCTGAGTTTAGGGCCCCTTTGACTGTGGCAGTCATATACATGTGGAAATATTCTAATCATTGGAAGCTGGGGCTTGGCCCCGCCTCCTTCCCAGCAGGGTGTTTTATGCATACTTATGTTATGAGCACCATTGCATCTCTTTCAGCGGCTCCGCCTGCCAACGGTCGGAGGGTTAATAGCGAGTCATAAACAGGACAGATGGAGACGGTTGCAGCCTAATTGCATGCACAATGACAGGATGAGGGCGGAGCTTTATGAGAAGGACGGCCCATTAGGGTTAACCGCTTATGTCTGTCCCTCCAACTGAAATGATTGACAGTACAGCGTATGCAGAGCAAGGAAGGTTCCCATTGGGTAACGGGTCCTGGGGTTACTTCACCTGAAATCAGTTTCAGGTGAAGTAACCCCAGGACCCGTTACCGGTAGGTAATAATTTGGGGAGAGCAGACACTTCCATCTGTCCCCTGTCAGGGTTGTCCTGCGGCTGCACCGCCGGCCTCGCATTGTTTTGCTGGTTTGCATGTCAAATGACCAATAAACAAATTCGAGGAGCGCTGTAGCCTGCTGACACAACTGTCCTTTGTTTTTCAGGTTCATCCCGTTTCCGGACCGGAGATGGCGGAGAGCGGAGAACACCGGGACACCGAGAATAACTGGGTCATACCAAACACCGAGGTATGAGGGGGGACACTAAAGGCCCTTTGAGTACCAGTTGGCGCAAGTGATGTTCATATGGGATCATACGAGACCATCCTTGTGATGTCCACACAGTGCAGACACTTGATGATCACGATCAGGGCCGGGCCGAGGGAAAGGCAGAACAGGCGGCCACCTTGGGCACTTCATCAGGAGGGGGGCGCTTAAAGGGCAAAACGTGCAACCTATACGGCTGCTCATTGCACACATTGGCCATGTCGCCTCAGGGGGGGCGCAAAGGACCTCATCCCGACCCAGGATACGATATTCTGATTGGATGTCTCATCTGAAGTGAAGGAAACTAATACATCCTGTCATGTGCTACGGTGGCAGCGTATCACTTATTTGCATCTTCTTTTTAATTGGGCCTTTTGAAACTTGCAAAGAAATAATGTCACTTTTTTGTGTGGTTTTTGGAAACTTGATTGGGTCATAGCGGAAAAACAGAAGGCGTGTGTGTGTGTGTGCGCGCGTATGTGTCACAATCAAAATTGAACTTCTGATGAAATGTGTGGTCAGCAACAGTATTAGTGAGAAAGAACAAAAAGCGGATCCCATTGCGTGTCCCTAAATAGCCCCCTTAGACTGAGCCCGATCTCTGGCATGTGATCGTTGTGGCCCCTGTGTAGCTCAGCATGTGCAGTGTGTGATCATTGTGGCCCCCATACAGCTTGCTGTATGTGGTGTTTGATCATTGTGGCCCCTGTGTAGCTCAACATGTGCAGCGTGTGATCATTTTGGCCCGTGTAGCTCAACATGTGCGGTGTATGATCATTGTGGCCCCTGTGTAGCTCGGCATGTGGTCAATGTGGCCCCTGTGTAGCTCAACATGTGCAGTGTATGATCATTGTGGCCCCTGTGTAGCTCAGCATGTGCGGCATGTGGTCATTGTGGCTCCTGCGTACTGCGGCATGTGATCATTGTGGCCCCTGTGCATCTCAGCATTTGTAGTATGTAATGAATAGGGGCCCCTGTTTAGCTTGGCATGTGTGGCGTATGATCACTGTGGCCCCCGTGTACAGTACCTCAGCACGTGCTGCTTTTTACCATAGTGGTCCCTATGCAGCCCAGCATGTGCAGTGTGTGATCATTGTGGCCCCTATGTAGCTCTGCATGTGCAGCTTCTGATCATTGTGGCCCCATGTGTGGCTTGTGATCATTGTGGCCCCTGTGTAGCTTATTTTGTGTGGCATGTGATCACTGTGGCCCCTATGTAGCTCAGCATGTACGTTGTGTGATCATTGTGGCCCCTATGTAGCTCAGCATGTGCAGTGTATGATCATTGTGGCCCCTATGTAGCTCAGCATGTGCAGTGTATGATCATTGTGGCCCCGCTGTAGCTCAGCATGTTCTCTGTCCGCCGTATTTGTGGCCCTCACCCTTGGCTCGGGGTGTTGGTGACACGCTGACTAAACTGCGCTATTTATAGTGCTGAGTAAGATAACTCCTCGCCGTGAGCGCCGGCTGAGAAACTTCCAGGCCGCCCGCAGAGTCACGCCAGATATACAGATTACATGTGGAAATAAAGAGCAGCCAATCAGAATGGAGCGTATCATCATTGCGGAAAGGAAAGCGTCCCTCTGATTGGCTGCAATGTGCCGGGCGTTGTGTTATTAAGCTGTATGGTAGAACCCTCGCTGCCCAACCCCCACCCAATTTTTATTTAAAGCCAAATTCCAGGAAGATCTAACAGATACAAATGTATCCAGATATATAATCCGCATATCATGACATGTATTTATACCCCCTTCACCCACAAAGTAACATTGTATATAAACATTGTACAGAGGGAGATGGAGAGATACAAAGTAACATTGTACAGAGGGAGATGGAGAGATACAAAGTAACATTGTACAGAGGGAGATGGAGAGATACAAAGTAACATTGTACAGAGGGAGATGGAGAGATACAAAGTAACATTGTACAGAGGGAGATGGAGAGATACAAAGTAACATTGTACAGAGGGAGATGGAGAGATACAAAGTAACATTGTACAGAGGGAGATGGAGAGATACAAAGTAACATTGTACAGAGGGAGATGGAGAGATACAAAGTAACATTGTACAGAGGGAGATGGAGAGATACAAAGTAACATTGTACAGAGGGAGATGGAGAGATACAAAGTAACATTGTACAGAGGGAGATGGAGAGATACAAAGTAACATTGTACAGAGGGAGATGGAGAGATACAAAGTAACATTGTACAGAGGGAGATGGAGAGATACAAAGTAACATTGTACAGAGGGAGATGGAGAGATACAAAGTAACATTGTACAGAGGGAGATGGAGAGATACAAAGTAACATTGTACAGAGGGAGATGGAGAGATACAAAGTAACATTGTACAGAGGGAGATGGAGAGATACAAAGTAACATTGTACAGAGGGAGATGGAGAGATACAAAGTAACATTGTACAGAGGGAGATGGAGAGATACAAAGTAACATTGTACAGAGGGAGATGGAGAGATACAAAGTAACATTGTACAGAGGGAGATGGAGAGATACAAAGTAACATTGTACAGAGGGAGATGGAGAGATACAAAGTAACATTGTACAGAGGGAGATGGAGAGATACAAAGTAACATTGTACAGAGGGAGATGGAGAGATACAAAGTAACATTGTACAGAGGGAGATGGAGAGATACAAAGTAACATTGTACAGAGGGAGATGGAGAGATACAAAGTAACATTGTACAGAGGGAGATGGAGAGATACAAAGTAACATTGTACAGAGGGAGATGGAGAGATACAAAGTAACATTGTACAGAGGGAGATGGAGAGATACAAAGTAACATTGTACAGAGGGAGATGGAGAGATACAAAGTAACATTGTACAGAGGGAGATGGAGAGATACAAAGTAACATTGTACAGAGGGAGATGGAGAGATACAAAGTAACATTGTACAGAGGGAGATGGAGAGATACAAAGTAACATTGTACAGAGGGAGATGGAGAGATACAAAGTAACATTGTACAGAGGGAGATGGAGAGATACAAAGTAACATTGTACAGAGGGAGATGGAGAGATACAAAGTAACATTGTACAGAGGGAGATGGAGAGATACAAAGTAACATTGTACAGAGGGAGATGGAGAGATACAAAGTAACATTGTACAGAGGGAGATGGAGAGATACAAAGTAACATTGTACAGAGGGAGATGGAGAGATACAAAGTAACATTGTACAGAGGGAGATGGAGAGATACAAAGTAACATTGTACAGAGGGAGATGGAGAGATACAAAGTAACATTGTACAGAGGGAGATGGAGAGATACAAAGTAACATTGTACAGAGGGAGATGGAGAGATACAAAGTAACATTGTACAGAGGGAGATGGAGAGATACAAAGTAACATTGTACAGAGGGAGATGGAGAGATACAAAGTAACATTGTACAGAGGGAGATGGAGAGATACAAAGTAACATTGTACAGAGGGAGATGGAGAGATACAAAGTAACATTGTACAGAGGGAGATGGAGAGATACAAAGTAACATTGTACAGAGGGAGATGGAGAGATACAAAGTAACATTGTACAGAGGGAGATGGAGAGATACAAAGTAACATTGTACAGAGGGAGATGGAGAGATACAAAGTAACATTGTACAGAGGGAGATGGAGAGATACAAAGTAACATTGTACAGAGGGAGATGGAGAGATACAAAGTAACATTGTACAGAGGGAGATGGAGAGATACAAAGTAACCTTGTATATAAACATTGTACAGAGGGGGATAGAGAGATACAACGGTTACTTTGTATCTCCCTCTGTACAATGTTTCTTGATGTAATTGAACGAATGACATGTGATCCGGTTTTGGTTTCAGGGTCTCACACTGGAGACGGTGGGATTTGACAATGGCGAATCACTGGCCAGTCAGGAAGAAGTGAAACCTGCAGGTAATAAATCAGGCGAATGGACAGTTCAGTGGGCGGAGACTCTGAGAGAAGTTTGTTGATTGGATGGCTGCGGGTTCAGAGGAACACTCTCATTTTTGCCCTCTCTGGTTGTGTTTTAAAATGAACCCGTCACAAAGCAAAGTGACTTTGTAAGAAGCAATAGATGGAAGCTGACATTCTCTGTATTCCCGGCTGCAATCCATTATGAGGGAAAGCTGTATATGTTTTTTTTCCTTTTCTTTAATTCCTCCACAGGTCCCAGGGCCCCACACATATCTGTCACAGACAGGGGCCCATATCAGCAGGGAGAGGATTTGTCCAGGAGATTCAGTAGCATACGTAAAGGGTTCATGGAGACAAGTCTCATGAAGGTGCTCGGGGCACACAAGAGTCACAAAGGGCACGGGTTGCTTAGGAGTCACAGTGGTTTGCTGGGTGACACAGGATGCTTAGGGTGCTCTGGGGTCATGGGGTGACACGGGAGTCACAGGGGTCATGGGATGACATGGGGAACACAGAGTCATTGGAGGAGCAGGAGCGCTGGGGTCAAAGAGTAATTGGAGGAGCAGGAGCGCTGGGGTAACTAGAGCACAGAGGGGGTCACTCGAGGAAAAGGAGAGCTGGGGTCACTGGAATACACAGGGTGTCACTGGAGGAACAGGAGAGCTGGGGTCACTGGAATACACAGGGTGTCACTGGAGGAACAGGAGAGCTGGGGTCACTGAAATATAATTGGAGGAGCAGGAGCGCTGGGGTAACTAGAGCACAGAGGGGGTCACTCGAGGAAAAGGAGAGCTGGGGTCACTGGAATACACAGGGTGTCACTGGAGGAACAGGAGAGCTGGGGTCACTGGAATACACAGGGTGTCACTGGAGGAACAGGAGAGCTGGGGTCACTGGAATACACAGGGTGTCACTGGAGGAACAGGAGAGCTGGGGTCACTGAAATACAAAAAGGGGTCACTGGAGGAACAGGAGAGCTGGGGTCACTGGAATACACAAGGGTTCACTGGAAGAACAGGAGAGCTGGGGTCACTGAAGCACATAGGGTTCAAAGAGTCACCGGAGGAACAGAAGTGCTGGGGTAACTGGAGCACACTGGAGTCACTGGAATACACAAAGGGTCAGTGTAAGGGGCCCTGAAATTTCTGACGGCTGCCCTGAGCAGAAGTGCTGGGGTCAATGGAAACACTGGGGTCATTAAAGTACACAGGGGTCACTGGAGACACTGGGGTGATCAGTGGAGTTGCAGGGGTTGCTGGACTAGCAGGAGGTAAAAGGGCAGAGTCACTGGAAGCGTGCTAACCCCTCCGGACCTAACCCCTCCGGACCTAACCCCTCCGGACCTAACCCCTCCGGACCTAACCCCTCTGGACCAAACCCCCCGGAGCCTAACCCCTCCGAACCTTACCCCTCCGCACCTAACCCCTCCGCACCTAACCCCTCCGCACC